GAGGTGGAGGTTGCTGTGAGAAGTGAAGCCATGGCACTCTACCCAGGGGGACAGCTTGAGGCTCTGTCTCAAAAAAAAAGAAAGAAATTGTCAGTTTTCGCCTCACATATTTTGAAGCTCTGGTGTTAGGCACATACATTTTAAGGATTGTTAATCCTTGTTTCTGGGGAATTGAACCCTTTTTCATTATATAATATTCTTTTGTTTCTTTCTTTCTTTCTCTCTCTTGCTTGCCTGCCTGCCTGCCTTCCTTCCTTCCTTCCTTCCTTCCTTCCTTCCTTCCTTCCTTCCTTCCTTCCTTCCTTCCTTTCTTCCTTTTTTTTTTATGTTTTTGAGACAGAGTCTCAAGTTGTTGCCCTGGGTAGAGTGCTGTAGCATCATAACTCACAGCAACCTTTAACTCTCGGGCTCAAGTGATCCTTTTGCCTCATTTTTTTCTATTTTTAGTAGAGATGGGGTCTTTCTTTTGCTCAGCCTGGTCTCACACCTGTGAGCTCAAGCAATCCACCTGCCTCCTTGAGTGCTAGGATTATAGGCATGAGCCACCATGCCTGGCATATAATATTCTTTTTATCCCTGATAATTTTTCTTGCTCTGAAGTCTTCTCTGAATGAAGTTGGTGTAGCTATTCCAAGCTTCTTTGTTTAATGTTAGCATGGTGTGTCTTGCCTCACCCCTTTGCTTTTAATCTATGTATATCTTTAAATTTAAAGGATTTCTTCCAGGAAGCATGTAGTTAGGCCTTGTTTAATCCACTCTGATAGTCTCTGTCTTTTAATTCGTATATTCATTTATTTTCTTTCTTTCTTCTTCTTCTTCTTCTTCTTCTTTTTTTTTTTTTTTTGTTGAAACACATCTCACCCTATGCCCCAAGCAGAGTGCAATGGCATCATAGCTCACTGCAACCTCAGACTCAGGCTATGGGCATCCCGCTGCCTCAGCCTTTAAAAGCCACTGGGATTACAGGCACTTTATGCGGCACCTGGCTGGGTTTTTCATTTTTTTAGGAGTCGGGGATCTCACTTTTACTCAGGCAAGTCTTTAACTCCTGAGCTCAAGCAATTCTCCTTCCTCAGCCTCCCACAGTGCTGGGATTATAGGCGTGAGCCACTTCATTATTTTTTGAATTGGTATATGTAGACCATTAACATTTAAAGTGATTTTGATGTGGGTGGATTCTTATCTACCATGTTTGCTATTGGGTTTTAGTTGTTATCCTTGCTTTTTGTTCCTGTTTTTTCTTTTATCTTCTTCCGATGGTTTTCTGCCTTTCATGGGATGACCTCCAGCAAGTCACCAGTTACGTTCAGGGCTCCACCCAGCACCTGTTGGTGTGGTGTTTCTGCCTCAGTGAGTATGGTTCTTTGCGCTCACCTTCCCATCTTTCCAATTTGGAGCAGTAGGTTTGCTTTTGACCTCACTTGTCTGATAGGTCTAAGAAGAGTTGTTGACTTTTCAGTTTGTTCAGCTTTTCACTTGTTTTTAGGATGGAGTAGGGACTTCCACGCTCCTTACATGTTGGACCAGAAATGAGACATGAGATCATTCACTTTAAAATGGTTAATTAATTTTGTGTTCTGTGGATTTCACCTCAGTAAAAAAAGATTAATGCCTGTTGTAATTTCTGCGGCTATGACATAAACTTGGGTGCTTTCTCTTGCTCCATTGTGGCCACCCCGGTGCAGTACCCCAGCCAGAACAGCACCTGACCCCTGGTGTGTGGTTTTGATTTCACATTTTAGCCCCATAGCTAGGGGATGGTGACTGTTCTCATCCCATTGCTCACATTCCTGAGGCCATCTGAGATCCTTTTTTATCCTTTGCTCCCTAAAACCTGACAGAGATCTTGAGTTGTGTATTCCAAAAGGAAGGTGAGAGTCCACGTGAGGGTCAGGTGCACAAAGCTTGAGAAGGGCTTCGGTCACAGGGACTGTGCTCACCAGCAACCCACAGGCCCTGGGCGTCTACGCAGTGCAGGGTTATTGACAGAGTGTTCATTGAGTGCCTAATGTGTGCTCAGAAAAGGATAGTTTAGGGAAGTTTATAAGACGTACTGGCTGGGTGCAGTGGCTCGTGCCTGCTTTGGGAGGCCGAGGCAGTAGGATTTATTGAGCCCAGGAGTTTGAGACCAACCAAGGCAACAGAGTGAGACACCATCTCTACAAAAAAATTTTAAAATCAGCCAGGTGTAGTGGTACCCACCTATAGTACCAGCTACCAGAGGGAGACTGTGTCTCTAAAAAAAAAAAGAAACAAGAAGTACTAGCTCGACTTGGTGCCTGTAGCTCAAGTGGCTAAGGCACCAGCCACATACAGCAGAGCTGGCGAGTTCAAATCCACCCTGGGCTTGCCAAACAACAATGACAACTACAACCAAAAAATAGCTGGGCCCTGTGGCAGGCACCCATAGTCCCAGCTACTTGGGAGGCTGAGGCAAGAGAATCGCTTAAGCCTTTAAGCCCAGGAGTTGGAGGTTGCTGTGAGCTGTGATGCCAGAGCACTCTATCCAGGGTGACAGCTTGAGGCTCTGTCTCAAAAAAAAAAAAAAGAAAAGAAGTATCTCTTTGCTTTGCTATTGTGAGGAGCTCAGAGTTGAGCTGCAGTGTGGGCGAGGAGGCAGCATACAAGCTGTCCGAGGATAGGGCTGCTCTGGACAGGAGAGGCCAGCCCCCTGCCCAGATGTAGGTGCATCATTCAGGGTGGCCACAAGAAGCCTTGCAGCCTGGAGAGGTAGGCAGCCCTTGTGTTGGCTTCTGGTGCTAGTCCTCACCCTGTGTGCCTGTGCTTGGGTTTCAGACCCCGAGAACGTCGACACAAAGCTCAGGGGCCTCTCAGGGCAGCTTGTGGACATAGCGTGCAAGGTGTGCCTGTCCTACCTGGGACAGCTGGAGCACGAGGACATCGACAGGCCAGAGAACACCACTGAGGCCCTCACTGAGGATGAGTGGAAGGACCTGACCCAGCAGTACTACTCTCTCGTTCAGTAAGACACCTGCCGCATGCAGGGCCCTCAGGGGCACGCTGGACACCAGTGGGCAGTGTGGGCACTGAGGCTCATGTCATTGCCTCATGTGGGGGCTTCTGAAGCTGCCTGGCAGTGTAACCTCTGGGCTTAGTGGGAATCAGGACACCTTTCTGGGTATGAGGCCACTGTCAGGTGTTGGGGCAGGTGTCTGGAGGTCTGGAGATGGTTTTAGGGAGCCCTGGTGCCTGTCTGGCTATTGAAGTGCCTGTGTGGGTGTTGGGGATCCCAGGCCCTCTGTTGCTGTTGAGAGGATGACACTTTCTCTCAACAAAAGCACCATGGGGTGCTTTTGTCCATGCCATCATCTCATGCTCCTGTCTGACCTCTTTGTATCTTGATCTCATTGAACCCCACAAATAGCCTGAGACAGGCAGGGAAGGCTGGGTTTTTTAACTTCAGTTCAGCTTAAGTTTTAAGTATTGAATTATAATTTGAATACCACAAAACTCACTTATCATAAATGTACAAGTCAGTGATATTAGCACATTCATGGAGTGGCACAACCATCACCACGGTCCAGTTTTATAGCATTTCTGTTGCCCATAAAGTCCCTTCACACCTTTCTTAAATCCCTTACTCAGAACCCCAGCCCCATGCAAACACTCATCTTTTTCTGGTTTTTAGTAACACTGAGTCTTCTAATCCATGCACATAGACTGCTTATTCCTCTATTTAGATCTTATAAAATTTATCTCAACAGTGTCTTGTAGTTTTCAATGCCCAAATCTTGGCACTTCTCTTGTTCAGTGTATTCCTATGTATTTTATTGTTTTTATACTATTATGAATGGAATTATTTTCTTAATTTTTTGGGTATCATATAGAAATATAATAATTTTTGTATATTGTTCTCGTATCTGTGACTTTGCTAAATTCATTTATTAGATCTAATAGTTTGTAGCGTGTGTATGTGTGTTCTTTAGGATTTTCTAAATACAGGATCATGTTATCTATGAAGGAACACAATTTTATCTCTTAATTCCCAGTCTGAATTATATGTCACAGTATATATAGTATTAATTATATGTCACATATAACAATGACTCACATATATGTGTTTGTATACTCAAAATGGCTATATGATTCTTAGATGTGTGGTGAAAATCAGGAATATATGTTGTTGGCTCAGCACCAGTGGCTCAAGTGGCCAAGGTGCCAGCCACACACACCTGAGCTGGCAGGTTCGAATTCAGCCCAGGCTCGCCAAACAACGATGGCTGCAACCAAAAAATAGCCGGGTGTTGTGGTGGGTGCCTATAGTCCCAGCTACTTGGGAGGCGGAGGCCGGAGAATCATTTGAGCCCAGGAGTTGGAGGTTGCTGTGAGCTGTGATGCCACGGCACTCTACCCAGGGTGACAGCTTGAGGCTCTGTCTCAAAAAAAAAAAAAAATAGCTGGGTGTTGTGGTGGGAGCCTGTCCTCTTAGCTACTTGGGAGGCTGAGGCAAGAGAATCACTTGAGCCCAAGAGTTTGAAGTTGCTGTGAGCTATGAGGCCACAGCACTCTACCAAGGGTGACAAAGTGAGACTCTGTCTCAAAAATAAAAAAAATCCCCCTATGAGTATTCTATATTTCTTCAAGTATCCTGGCAAAAGAATCAAATCATATCCAAGGGAGAAAGGCTGAACTCAGAACTTTTCAACTACAACATTCAAGGACTAGGACCCAATTGAGCAACCAGTTGAAAGCTGCGAAAGAATTGGTGTCTGTGGTAGGGTGAAAAAATTGAATGTAGAGTGTTATCTCTAGAGTGACCACCGAAAACTAACAACAATCACAGCTAACACCTACTACAGGAGGAAAATTAAACAGCACACAATACCAGACAAATCCAAGAAAATAAAGGAGAGGAAGAATGAACAGCAAAAAGACAAGACAAGTGAACACCCTTCGTGACATGACAATTTTAAACTCAACTGTATCCATACTAATACAATTAGCATACTAATTAAATGAAGCAAACACTTTAATTAAGGGTGAAGCTTTTCAGAATAATATTCTTTTAAAAAGACTTGACTGTTTATGAGACACCTTTTAATTAATTAATTAATTTTTAAAGACAGAGTCTCGCTTTATCCCCTTGGGTAGAGTGCCGTGGTATCATAGCTCACAACAACCTCAAACGCTTGGGCTCAAGTGGTCGATTCTCTTGCCTCCTGAGTAACTGGGACTACAGGCACCCACCACATGCCCAGCTGTTTTAAGAGACAAGGTCTTGCTCTGGTTTAGGCTGGTCTTGAACTCTTAAGTTCAGGTAGTCCACCCGCCTCAGCCTCCCACAGTGCTAGGATTACAGGCATGAGCCACCACACCCGGCCGAGACAGCTTTTAAATATGATTAAATAGGTACACTGAAAGTTACAGAAGAGAAAAAAATATGGGAAACAATAGCAGAAAGGAAGTTGGTGTGATATATTAATATGAGACAAAGCAAGAAATGTGACTAGATACATAGACATTTCACAATAATGAAAATGCCTGCTCAGAAGGACGTAATTCTGAATTTATAAGTAACTAATAAAATAGCTTCAATATATATGAAGAGCATAGTCACAGAACTAAAAGAAATAGACAAGTCTACACTCATAGTTAGGATTTTAATACACTTTCCTCAGTTCCTAATGGAAAAAGCTGGTTAAGAAAAACATCAGTAAAGATACAGCAGCTTTGAGTAACACTACCAACTAACTAACTGGACCTCACAGAGGCTTTTAGAATACTTGACCCAGTAACTAAGCAATATTTATTTTTTCAAGGGCACATGGTAAACCATAGAGTGTTGAACTTCAGAGGATTGAAATCATGGAAAACATGAGTACTGACAAAAATGGAATTAAGCTAGAAATCAACAGCAGAAAGACGATGGGGGATTCTATAAGATCCCTAAATGCAAATTAAGCAACACATTTAAAAATAACTCATGGGTCAGAGAGGATGTGATAATGGAAATTAGAAAAAAAATATTGAATGAAAACTAATATTGAATGAAAAAAATATATATATATATTTTTTTTTTGAGACAGAGCCTCAAGCTGAGCCCCTGGGTAGAGTGCCCTGGCTTCACTACTCACAGCAACCTCCAACTCCTGGGCTCAAGTGAATCTCCTGCCTCAGCCTCCCAAGTAGCTCGGATTACAGGCGCCCACCACAATGCCCAGCTATTTTTTGGTTGCAGCCATTATTGTTGTTTGG